TCAAGATTGCTAGAATGAGGATGCAGTTGATACTAGCATGGCTGATAACCGTTATTGCTATGCAGAAGCTAGCGCGCAGCTATCAAGTCAGTAGACACAAACTAATCACACATGGTTAGTCCATTTAAGTCCATTTAAGCAGACATAGCCCCATCCTGCATATTTATATTGCTTCTGGCTACTTTGTCCTCTCAACAAAGATGGGGTTATAGTTGTAACATGACTTGAGCAATAATTGAAATCTAACCATGTAAGATGTTTAAAGGGAAACTATCTCTCTGGCATCAACCAGATAGTTTGTTACACAGAACCTACTAACTCCCCTTTGACACTGTTTATAAAAAGGGCCAATATTAACACGTCATCAATGACTATAATGGGTTAAGGCACAGTCCTAGCTGCCAGTAGTCCGTCATGCAAAACATAGCTTTTTGGACCCTTGTGTGAAAAGCAACAACTAATCAGAGCAATCAGATAAATGACAAATCTAGTCAGTAGTTACAATGTAAGTAATTGTAAATGCGTACCTATTGGGAAGTCCTGTTTCATTTAGTAGTTTATTGCCTTCACGCAAACAGTTTTCCTACTTTCTTCTTTTCTTCCAGCTTTTGTTTGTATCCTCCCATTTCTCAGACAGGGATACAGGACAATTAGAGCATGTGAAATGGAAACAGTGATAAATATTTCAGTACTGCTGTCACTGCTCTGCAGACGAGCTGCATTATTTCCTGCTGCCATCCCTCTTACAGTACCTGTCAGCAGCCATGTCGCTTGTTAGCTGCATACTGATAACATATCACATCACGATGATATCAGCATCCTCTTTTACAAGTCATGTTGTATAATTTGTTCTCCAGCATCCCTCTAGACTAATGCTGGATGTGATGTGGATACTAATGTCTGAAGTAAAGGTCTGCTGGTTTACGGCTTCAGTCCAGGCTGAAATGGGTCAACTCAACAATTGATATTACCATGAAAAATGCACTAGAGACAATAAAGAGAAAAATATCCTGTTTGTGGTAGTTCTCTGGGTGAAAATGCACTGCTGGTGGTGAGTGGTTGGACTGCTTCAAGCTAATAGTAAAGCAAAATTAACTCAAACAACCACCCACCACAATCAGTGTATGCAGAAGAGCATCTCTGAATGCACAAGACGTCAAACCTTGAAGGAGATGGGCTACAGCAGCAGAAGGCCGCACTTGGTGCCACTCTTGCCAGCTAAGAACAGGAAACTGAGGCTACACCAAAACAAAAATGTAGCCAGGTTAGTTTTAGTTTCTGCTGTGACATTTGGATGGTGGGTGTAAACAACATGAAACCATGGATCCATCCTGCTTTGAGGTCATCAGAAAAGGAAGCAGATGATGGTCTAATGGTGTGGAGGATATTCTCTTTGCACACTTTTGGCCCCTTAATACCAGGAGAGCATCGTTTAAAGGTGATGACCTGTCTGAGTATTATTGGTGATCATGTCCATCCACTTTTTACCACTATGTACTCCTCTGAGGGCTGCGTCCAGTGGGATAATGTGCTATGTCACAAAGCCCAGATGGTCTAACTGATTTCATGAACAAGGCAGAGAGTTCACTGTAGTCAAATGGCCTGAAAAATGACTAGATGTCAATCCAACACAGCACATTTACACATTCACTCATTATAAGTTATATATGATAAATAATTATAAGTATAAGTTTACCATTTAGCACTTGGAAGAACACACTAGTAGGCTGAAACTTAATGACAAAACTTGGTAGATGCACTGTTGTGTCTTCACGAGCCATAAAACCCAATAATGTCCCAATAATGACACTTTTATTTGCAAGTTTGGATGAGACAATTCAAACTTTTTGTATTTTTAAATTGCAGCACTCTATTTACATCTGTTGTTTTTATCCATCAGCAGCTCTTCAGTCAGTCAGTTCAGTTTCCTGATTCTTGTTCTGCAATTTGTCCCCAGTCTGTTTTCTGCAGCGAATTCACTTTGTCTGTTTGTTTGTTATTTTTGTTCTCTTTTCTATATCCATGTCCATCCCTATGCTACAGTTTTACATTTCTCTGGTAATCCAGATGCTAAAGTTTTGCCTCGCTCACTTTGAACTGTCAATCCACGTACACCAAAAAAAAAAAAAGGAAAACAAAGAAAAAAAGAACATCAGTTAGCCCACATGAAACTAAACCACAGGAATCTGGAGTACAAGTTAACATATACAAACATACCTTCAGTATCATGTTTTCCATTGTGAAAAGGGGCACTTTAAATAAAAAAGCAAAAAACACAACTTTGATTGCATCATTATAAGAAAATGAGATTCACAGATTTTTACAACAATTACATTTGGGGGGGAAAGGACTACATGGGAAGGAACATAATGGAGTAGCAAGGACAAAGTATGAAGACATCAGAAGGCAAGAATTGGGTCATATGAGCTGCTGTTTCACATCCTGTTGGGGATAAAAATAATTTTGCACTGTGCCCTAAAACTTATGGTCTTGCCCGCTTGATTGAGTCTTTCCTTTGAAGGTGATGAAGGGGGATGACCCAAAGACATCAAAGTATCAACCGCTGGGTGTGCCCTGCTTTCATGTGTTATCTATAGAAGGGATATTTTGGAGATTCCAGGCTGGACATGTAAATTAGGCTGCTTAGTTTATTCTAGACCTGGAAAATATACTCAGACTCTTCATGAGCCTGCCCAGAGTGACTCATGGAGGGCACCGCTCAGTGTTTGCTGAAGCTCGGCTCCTCAGTGTTTGCCCATTTGCAAGTATTTTCTTTTCGGCTTTCTCTCTTAGATTTTCATAATGCATGTTTATCTCAGATGGTTCTTCACCAAAGAGCTTGTCAGATCGCATCAAAGACGTGTGTCTGTGGGCTTTTTTTTTTTAGCAATCTCTTCTCACAAGGTAATTTTCCATGTGTCAGGTTACTCATCTGTATCATCTGTATCTGAGTTATGTCTTGCTACCCAACATAATGATGAAATCAAAAACAGCGCCGTGGAAGGGGAAGTCAGAAGGAGAAGTTTCTAATGACGCGCACGACCGGGCTGAACCTGAAATAACAAACAATACCATTTAATCCCTGTGACAAACACACCCACTGCCACTGATCCACACCTTGGAGGTGGAGGAAGTGGCTTTTGTCACTGGACATTCATGTTTGTATTTCTAATGTCATCGGATGGTACTCACACACAGTGACTCAACAACCGTGGCTGTTAATCAGGTCAAACAGGGACTAAGAGCTGGATTACAGAAAAGGCTTTGATCCAGATATTTTCCTTTTGTGTGTATGTCGCTTTTTAAAAGATCTAAGTTTTAGCCTGAACAGTTTTAACTGTTCAGAAAGTAAAAATGGTTTATAAGATGAGAATAAGAGTAAGAACAAATTGCAATTGTAATAAGCAGGTTTTCCAAGTTTTATTATAGGGTGAGGCATAACCACGAGTCCATTCACGGAGCGTTAGCTATTAAATATCTTTAACACCACTCATCACACTGATATTTTTAAACTGGTCTGTTACACTTTATGTACATAATGGCACACACAAATGTCTGGTTTGCTATCTTTGTGGGGACCTCCCACTGGCATAATGCTTTCCCTACCCTAACCCTAATAATCAAAGATGAATGCCTAACCCTGACTCCTACCCTAAACCTAACCATAACCCGGATGGGTCGAACACTGAGCTAACACTCTGCTTGTGTTTGATCTACCACAGCTTCCTCCTTCATCCTCTGTGCCGTTGAAGTCGTGATGTGTAACTGCATGTCAGCATGTCGATGAATTTGAATTTGCAAGATTTGCCATTTCGTTGCATTCAATGGTAAAAGCAGGATTGACAGTAACTAGTTTTACCTCAGCCTAGGCCTCAGTCCCATTGATTACCTGAAGCAGGACATGTAACTGTTGCCAATGCTAGTATGGCTTCCCACCACTAAAGGCCTGTTGGTGTATGAATGAAAAAGATGGCCGGGGTGGGAAGAAAAAACACCTCGTGCTCTTTGAACCTAGAAAACAGGAGGCAGAAATTACATATCTGGACAAATATCACTAGGCTAAGCATATTTATGTTTTCTGACAGAGAACAGGGGGAACAGCTAATTTTCTTCTAAAATGCTGCACTTTTCTTTTCCTTTAAAGGAATCACTATGTGTGTGTTCAGTCTCTGTATGATGTTTCGTATGTGCACTTTTGATCCCTTTGTCCTGAAGATGGCACAAGAGAAAGACTCAATATGAAGTTCATCCACATCTCTTAAAAATACCAAAATCTGTGTGCATACTGTGGTTATTTGTGTGGTTGTAAACGATGCTGTTTATCAGATGGCAGTGCTGTCATGATGCTTTTGCAATGTTGACAAAACGCACTTTGTGTTACATCAAAGACGTGTCAGAACATGATGGATGTTCTACATGGATGTGATGATGATGCTACCATATTCTTCTGCCTCCTCTCAGCTGGAGGCCTGTATGAACTCAATGCACCCATGATTCAGCTCACCTGCTATCTTCCAACAAACACTGCCCCCCTGTGGCGCACAGCTGCTAGAGCCAAGCACATCCACAATTCATTTTGCCCAGTGACAGTCACATCGTACAGACTATATAAATAAAACACCAGTGGAGCCTAAGAGGAGAATGAAACAGGTAGATGCTTGTTGTTTGGATTGAGTGAGCCAAATCTGCAGTCTCACTGAGGGAGGAGGATGTGGATGTGTCAGGCCTCGTTCCCTGTTACAACTAGAAATGGGGATTCTCAGGAACCTACTGGGATAAAGTATAGATAAACTACACCCTCTAAGGTTTTAAATATCAGGGCATAATACAAAAATGATCTTGTTCGTAGGAGTTGAAATTACTGTATATGACAACTGATAATATCAAGCAGAAATTATTATTATTATTTTTAAATCACCATTGTAGGCGTACATACACTTCATGCCTATCTACCTTACTTTTACGAGATAACAAACTCAGAAACGGCTACAAAACAGGTGGACACGACTGAATGTGCTTTCCTTTATTTGCAATAAAAAATAGGTATAAGAGCTCCCTTTACAAATACGCCAGGGAAATGCAGCACATTGTGAACACTGCTCCCATGCAGAGAGCACGTGACTGCAGTGGAGTCACAAACATTTGAAGAGGAAACGGCAACACAGAGAGAATATGCATTTATATGCACACTGACAATGTAATTATAGCCATGACCTAATCTGCTTAAAAGTCTGCATAAAGAGACTCAGGACGCTCTTTATTATTGACAACTGCTGAATTCCATCTGTAGGATAAATATACAGAAATCTCCTTTCAGACATTTAAGTAGAATTTTCTCATTTACATTCATTTTCTCACTAAGAAAATCCACACGTGCAAAATCATGTCATGAATTTTTAAAAACCTCCATTGCTCTTGTTTTCTTCCCCCCTTTTTGGCATGCTTCATATGTTATTGCTAACAGACACTGTGAGAGCTTGAAATTGTGGGTAGAAACCCAAATTTAACTACCAGGTACAAAGAAACTCCAATTTAAGGCCAATTTAAAAACAAGACAAACCAAAAAAGACAAACAAAAACTTTAAACATTATGCAAATTTGGGTTACAGGATCAATATTGTGCACCGATTTTAGGATTTTTAAATCAACAACTGTTGATGCCAAGTGCCAACAGAAACAGATCTGTAGCAGCAAAAACGTTTACAAAAGAAGAAAAAAAAAATTAACTCTTTGCAATTGTTCACATCGACATGTCTGTCAGGCATCAGAGATACATAGAAAGTGCTTGGGTGATTTCATATCAACATATCCAACTGCTCATTAGAAAAATCCAGGAATTCCATTACAGTGTGCATGTAAATGAACAGGAAGAGGATGAGAGAGAAAGATTGTTGAAACGTTCCTTAAATAAAACATTAAAAAGGCCTTAGAGTTACAATTATACACAGAAATTCACCCAAATTAAATTTGAACATATACATACACTTAAGGGCATAGCAGAGTGAGAGAAACAAACATAAAAATACACAATCAGCCCCTATAACTACATCAGTCCCAAAGATATGCTACATTTAGGACATTAAAAATAAAATATCCAGATCAGCATCATCAGGATGCATTGTTATCTGCTCTTTCCTAAAAGCTAGCACGACTTGAGTGATGGAGGTTTAAGCTTTAGTCTTACGCTCAATCGCTCTTCAGAACTAGTGCAGATGTAGAGTTGCACTTGATCTTACACACCGCAGTGTGTGATGGTTTTTAGTGTTAGCATGAGTGAAATCACAGTCTCAACACAAAGGCTTTCATGGCATTCATTCCTTCCTTTCACACAATCTGAGGTACTGATGCTTATGCACCAGAGTTTCGGCTCAGGAAGATTTCAAGCGAGGCATCAGCTGTTTGTCCGCTTTTTTTTATTTTTTATTTATTTAATCCTTACCAAGTGGGCCGGGCAACCTGGCAGAAACACCTGTATCTGTCTTTTTATTGAAGAGTGGATGGAATCACAACGCTGAATCTGACTCCAGAGTAATTTAACTCCAGGGTAAATGGCCAAATTATAAATGTAATGCACACTGATTTTATTCTGAAAGCTCTGACAGGAAGTGTGGATTTGTATCTCCTCTTTTTTGCCGCCTTTTCGGGGTGTTGGTCTGCCCGAGTTGTTCCTCGTCCACCATGCTGTCTTCTTTAGAAAATAAGCTACACCTTTCATGATAAATACTGCATTGTAGGAGTGCGGTCCTAAATGTCACAAGTGAGCCTTATGAAATCTGTATAATATAAAGAAAACAAAAAGCTGATTCTGTATGTGTAGTCTTGGGGGAGGAAAAATATCTACAACCTACAGCCTGGCCAGTACATTCACATGTGCTGCCATCATGCAGTATTTTTGCATTTTCTTTCTTCACACATCGCTGGGGTTCGTTTGTTTTTGGTTCCCAGTCGTGAATCCTGAAGACTGCACAGCTCTGTTCCCATTTTGTTAAACACTGCTTAAAATGTATAGGAAAAAAATCCTCTTGAACCTGAACACACTGCTTATGTGAGAACAGGTTTTTGTTCCTTCATAAAAAGAGCCCATGTTGACCATAATGAAAGCATTCCTACTCAGCTCAATTGATTTTTCCTCCTACAAGACTGAGAACGCCACATCAAAGATCACTGGTTTAGAAGTGTGTTGTGGTCGGGTTCACTCATGAGTAGTGAAGCTGGTTGGGAGATGCTGGATAAAGAAAGAAAGCAGGAACACCTTCATGCCAGCGCTGTGACCCACCTGATACTCTCAGCAGAACTGACAGGCGTTCGGGAGGGCTACGTGACACAGGAATGAGCATCTGAGAATAAACTGACGCAGGAGAGAATGAACGAGTAAACACGTACAAAGTGAATCAGTCAAGGAGCGACCCGACGAATGACCGAACACGTTTCTGAACTGCATAGATGCCAGAGCGGTTCTTCCAAGCAGCTCCTCCATCACCGTGGCCTCTTGCGAGTGACAAAGATGAGGACTCTTCGGATGGCAATGAGGCGATCCTTGAGGGAGGTCATGGCCAGGATTGTGAGCTGGGCACGGTTTTCCAAGGGAAGAACAGCGAGCAGCCACCAGGACCAGGCTGGACCACTGGGACTGGCCTGTAGTACAACATAGATTTGTTCAATTTAGAAACAGTTTACACAGATTAGAAAAACCTTCAGTAGTCACATGACTTAGCAAAGCCCTAGTTTTCTAATAGAGTCATTTTATGTGACTTTAGAAGACAACTCTTTGTTTGAAAACACACAGCTCTTCTATTTTGCCATCTGCAGCCAAAACAGTTACTCATGTAGGGTATTAAAAAGCATGCAAACACTGGGAACCTTGCCGAATATGAAATGCACACATCCATTCAAGAGCAAAAAGAATTTTCTGTGACTATTCCTGAGACGTTGCTGATTTTCTTTCTTTCCTGCCATCACAAGGTGTTTATCAAACTGCGCCTTTATTTATAAATGAAAATCCGTGAGTCAACACTGCACTTTCAGACCTGTGGGTCCGGGTCTTTGCTGGGAAGGTGTCCAAAGTGGCTGTGTATCTGACTCTTCATGTTGTCTTTCAGAGATGTGAACCAGCCGTTGGCCTGATCATACACGGAGTCGTGCAGCTTCAGAAGCTCTGTTAGCTCTTCCCCCTCCACCTGATCAGACAGACATATTTTATAAGCGTTTTAGAAAAAACAAACAAACAATGACATGTTTTTTTTCCTTTCATATGAAAGGACTACATTTGCCAGTGGCACACTAGCAGAGACTCAGGTTTGTTTTTCTTTGCACTGCTGAACAGTGACAGGCAAAAAACCCCCCCGAGCTCTGCTTTGTGCCACTCTGATTGTCAGTAGTGTGATGTAAAGTGTCTGAAATGGTTCTACTGACAGAACATCAGCACATCGCTCCTCACGCCCACCTTCTTGTCTTCCAGGTACTCAATCTTAGCAGTGTTGTAACCATCTCTCTGGCCGTGGCTGAGGACCTTGAACCGTGACACGCCAATGGTGTCAACCACTGAACGGCCGTCGGGAAAGAACTTCACGTCTCGCACCTGAAACACAGTATTTCATATCAGCACTCATATGATTTCTATCTGACTGCTCACAGGGACGCACAAGAAAATCTGTGAAGAAAGAAATACCTGCAGCATACAGCCATAGTCAGCAAAGCCTTTGAGCTCATCAGCGATGCACATGCCAAACTGCTTGGTACCAGTTTCCACTGAGCGGCGAATCATCAGGCGGTAGCGTGGCTCAAATACGTGCAGAGGGCAGGGGATGGTGGGGAAGGCCATGGTACACACAAAGATGGGCACTTCCTGGTTTAGACTGCAAGAGACACAGTGAAGAAATTGTTACTTTTTGTGTGTGTGTTTGAATAATCAATAGGTTTTCTAAAACAATCGTGAATGTGTGCACGGGTGTGTTAGTAAAACTGACTTGGAAAGCTCCTTCATCTCCTCTTCATGGATTTTCTTCCTCTCTGCCAGCTCATCTCCTAGGTAACGCTGCAGGACTTCCTCCATCAGCAGGGTCTTGTTGTAGCCCCTGCTAGCTAGATACTGTAAAAATACACAATAGCACATTTTCCTGCACATGAGCATTACAAAGAAAAATATTACCGTCAATTTATTATTAAAGATTTTATTCATTCATTCTTTTCCTGAATAAGTGAAACCTGCATTTTTTTTGTCTAATCGACAGTTCAAAACACCTTCCATCACATGCTACATTAAACATTATGAACACAGAAAAGAAAAACACTAAACAGGAGTCACACTGACATCACTACCCTCTATGAACAAGTGTACCTCAGACAGATTCTCCTTGCACAGAGGACAGTTGGGATTGTGGTCCAGACAGCGTTCCAGACATTTGAGGCAGAAGGTGTGACCACAGGGAGTGGCCACAGGCTCGTAAAACAATCTGGACGACAAATGAGCAAAAGCACCCAGCAGAATGCCAACATGACAAACTTGCACACACTAATTTAACAGGTCTTAAGCTGCAAATGCTGAAACTGAACTGGGTGAGCTTACCTCATGCAGAGTGAACACTCCAGGTCTCCACTGTCCAACAGCTCAGCAGGAACTGATCTACCTCCACAAGCAGCAGTCGCCTGACGGATCTCCCCCTCATCTGCACAATAAATTATCATCCTCAGCACAAGTTTGAGCAAAGCAAGATTCCTCTTTACCTCAGCAGCACATCAAGTACAAACATTAACGTCTGTATTGTTGGCAAAAGTAGGCTCGGGAGTTTTCTTCAGTAGCGGAATAAAATGATTCATTGAAATAAATCATTTTAATTCATATGGAAAATGCAAAATTTGCTTTTCATTGTTTTCTAACATAACTAAAAGACCAAAACTTATTTCTGTAGAGATGAGAAACTGTTTCTAAATGAGCCGATCAAATTTAATGCCTCATCTACTGAATAAGAACGGCCCCTGGCTGGTAAACAGAACAGCTGCAGTCCACCATCGTCATACCCTCTAGAGCAGCTTCTGCTAACACCAAAACTAAAACATCTTAAGAAGAGAGGGAAAAAAACTCTGTTGTTACCAAGAGCAAACACAATGCACTCCTGCTATATGAAGAACTGAGACAAAGAGACACTTATTTTGAAGCCAATCTCCTCCCAGCAGTAGACAAATCATTAGTGTTAACATGCTGCATGTCTAATGTGTCTTAAATGGTACGCTCAGAGGCAAGTGTTGTGCTGAAACTAATTCTGCAGGACAATCAGACACTGTGGAAATGTTAATGAACTCAAACGTGTAAAACGCTGTGTAGAAAAGAACTGTGCAACAGAAAATACTGTTTAATAGTGATTATATGTCCAAAAAACTCCCTCTGAGGAATTTCTCAGCTGTGGTGCTGTATAATGATTATATAAGCATCCAACCTAATCGTACACACCATAAATCCCATATCATAAAGCTGTCATCAATTCAATATACCCCTGCAAGATGTGGGTGTGTTTTGGGGATATTGCACCAAATATGAGGATTTAATAAAATACCCATCTAGATAAGCTATACTGCATAGTAACGCAGGTATCTGTAGATACATGTGAGCCTCATGGAAGAGCTGTGCGTGGCTGATGAATCTTAACGTTTAAGACCGCCACAGCTTTCTAGTCCATTACCTAACGAACCTGATTTGCGTGACCTACATTCTGAACATCCGCTTTTCATTTTCTTGACACAGATCTCGTTTTAAATAGTAACACTACATGCTAATGCTATTTGGAAAATTACATGACTGTGACTCATTTTCCTTTCATTATGCAGCCAAGATTTGGGTAAAATTACGCCCTCGTATTTTGCTGTTACACTTGAAATAGAAAACAGCTTTTCGCAAATTTTCTGGACAGATGTGACGACTAAGGATTTCTCAGTGTACGTTCAAATTTAACACCTCTGCACTGCTCAGAAAAGAGGGAGAAGAAGCAAAATGCCAGCAACCTGCTGTCCTAATCCATGATCAATATAACAATAAGAAAAACATAATGTAACTCATCAGTTTAAATGAACCATTCAGTATCTCACAATGTCAGTGAATACACTAAATTACGAAATTAGATTTTGGTCCTGAGTAGTCAGATTAGCTCAAGTTACTGGAGGCTGAGTCAGAATCCTAAAAACCCAAATAAGGACTCCTTAAGAAACTTTTAGAATCCTTCAATATCTGATCTCTTTCAAAGAAACCAAAGAAATTCTTCAAAACATCATTGCTATTCATGTCTTTATGTATGCAAAAACTGTTCTGTACATCAACTGTGGTTCAAATCATGAAAGGGAGAGCATGTGATGATGCAGCACTGTTTGAGCCAAAGAGCAGCATTTCCACCAACTGAAGAATACACTCATTCTCCGAAAGGAGTAATTCCTGGTACTGTGTGTTCCATTTCTTTCGCAACTTTAAGCATCCTAATTGAATATGGAGTGCCAATTAGGGCTGGGCCATATTATACCGTTTACGGTAATACCGGTATAATGTTAGGCAACGATAGGAAAATGAAATATCGCGATAGAATGGGAGTAAAACGCGCATGCGCAGTGCCTTTGTTTTCATACGCACATGGCCGATTGTTGAGTGAAACAGATGAACCAGAATTGGTTTGTAAAAATGGTTTAACTTCCGTGATGTGGAACTGGTTTGGTGTTTGTCCGTCAGATACACGACAAAGCACATTTTTTGCAGAACATGCAAGCGGCTGTCCTTATTGTCGTATTTGTCGGACTAAGATGCTCTTAAATCTGGGAGTAATCTGGGTCCTAAACCCCGTATTTCTCAGGTCAAACAACACTGCAGCATCACTGAGAGTTAAAAACTGTCTAAATTCTTTCATCTTTAATAAAACGATCAGCATTGCTGCTTTACCAGGTGTAACTATGAAGTTTAACTTCCAGGCATCCATGAAAACAAAAGTTATTACATTTAACGGAGTTAGAAGTTAGCAGGAAGCTAGCGGAAGTTAGCTCGCTAGTTTCGCTAGTTACCTAAGCATGATATTGCATGTTCTGACTGAGAGATTTCTGAAAAAAAATCAAACGTACAGCTCTGCTATCACTTCCAACATAAATGAAGACAGGAAACTAAACAGCAGTGACGTTTGTAGGGTTACTGAAGTTGGGCTAGCTGGTATATAATGATGTGCTACGTGATCGCTAGCGACACAGCTATGTTAGCATAACATAAACAGTGAAGCTGGAGGACGAACACTAACACTTTTCCACTTGTAAAAGTTAACGTGAAGGTTCCTGATAGTTGGAGACAAATTCAGTCGCATGGCAGGATGCTGTAAACGGACCAAACTTCAGTCAGGAGAACAACTGAGATAATCAATCCACAATATGAGGTCAGTCATTAATATACTGCAACAACATGGGAATAGAGCAGCTGCCAGAGAATTCAACATTAATGAATCAATGTTACAGAAGTGGAGGAAGCAAGAAGAATGAGTTTAATAAAGTTTGATTTATCTGACTGCTTTGTTTCGCTTAATGTGCCTTATAATCCCGTGCACCTTATGGTCCGAAAAATGCGTACTGCACACTGCAGTTTAATGTTGCAAAGCACCTCTTTTTAACTTCAGTGGATATTATACATGGTTATGCTCAGGATATTTCAGCCCATTTCTACTGGAAATGCCTTTTGGTTAAACTTTCAGCAAGGAATTTGCATTTGCACTGTTACATTTTTATAAAGCTTTAATGTACATAAAAACCAGCTTCTTGTTTAAGTGAAAATAAATGGAAGGTTGTCTTTTTGCGCTAGTAATGTTGTGGAGTTGTATTTTGTCTCGCATCAATTATATCGTCGGTTATATCGTTATCGCAAATTTTCAAATATATATCGTGATAAATATTTTTGGCCATATCGCCCTGCTCTAGTGCCAATGATGATAAAACAACCCTACCACAAATATCTACATTTTACCTTTTTCCACTACAGAGGTTAATGTAAAGAAATAAAATTATATTTAACTGAATTATTTTGGTTTCATACCAGCTCTGAGAAGTTTAGAGGGAGGGCTGAAGGTTGCTGAAAGTTCATCACTCTTGTGTTTCCTCTTAAGGCCACCAGGGGGTGCTGGCAGTGCAGCCAAAACATCAGCCAGGCTCTTTGTGCTGCCCTCCCCTGGAGAAGGGTCCGATTTACCAGCAGACAGAGCACAGAGTCTGGAGGATGAGTCGTCCACTGGAGGGCTTTTAGTCACAGTGAACTCTGAGTCCTGGAAACACAAACACAGACAGAAAAATACGTTAGCATATCAGGTGGATTAAAAAAAAGAAAAGAAAAAGAATGATTAGTTCAAAAGCGCCTTTGTGGAAGATCATATTCAGAATTATAGAGAGTATTAGATGCTACTACAACAACTCTCACTCGAGTAGTTTTGGGGTTGGTTGCAACAGATGTAGTTGTTAAGACCACTTGTATATCCATGTATCAAGATTCAAACACCTTATAAATAGCTACTTTTTTTTCCCTTCTTCCTTATTCACAAGCGCCAACCGCAGCGAGTACTTTGATTTGGCAGATTCTTATACATATACAGTTACCTGTGAGGAGGATGAGCCTGGTTTCTGTGGAAGTGGCCTCAGGGAACTGAGCAAGGCAGGAGGTTTGATGAGACGCGTAGCCAGGCCTCCTTGCAGAGGGTGCAACGGCGTTGGAAGATCCTCATTCTCAAATACAGAGGAGAACAGCTCGCCCAGGACCTTCAAGGTGAAAGAAAACAGGTGGCTAATTAACAATCGCAAAGAAGCAAGCACAGGAAAATTTACCACAAGAAAGTCACCAAAAACAGGATCAAAGACAGCTGTATACTCATTTGCACTCCCCATTTATATCACTCTCAGGAAAACTGAAGAAAGCAGAAGGCTTTAACTTAAAGCACTTACACTTTCTTAAATCATTATTTTGAACAAAATCGATTTTATTCCCATTTCCTTTAAAGGGTAGAGCCATATACAGAGAGGCTTTGTAATGACACTGGCAATAGCAGAATTTACAAATGAGAAACCTTCTTTCAGCTGCAAAACTGAGCATCAGCAAAACTAATTATTCTATCACGTAGTTATGTGGGCAGCGCATGGTTAGCGCCGTTGTCTCACAGCATGATCTCCCTGTGCCAGTTTTCTCCAGGATCCCCAGTTTCCTCTCATGCTCCCAGGACATGCAAGTTTATTTAAAAGCTTATCCGACTATAGTTTGTTAAGAGGTTCTGAGAATTATGACATGTTTTAGTCCGTATCAAATTACATATTTCACACCAACAACTGGTTCTGTCTTACCTTCTGAGCTTCCAGTTTCACTTTGGCCCAGTCGGGCTTTAGTGCCACACACAGGAAATACTCTTGTAAGGCTTCATCTTTCCGGCCTGCTTTACTCAGTGCTGTAGCTTTCAGATAGTGAGCCTAAAAATGACAGAAAACTTGTGTTTGATTTTTGAGGCATGGGCTGTGATAATGACATTTCTAATAATAACAAGATTAAACCAAATGTCCCTCCTTTATGACGTTTTGAAATTTACAGTTTAGAGAATTTGTTACCCAGATACACAACTATTACTGGTACACGCACTGACCCCTTGAATAAAGTAATAAAAAGGAACATTTTTTCCTCCTCGTGACATGCAAATTCTAAAAATGTGACCACACGATAATGTGTGTTGAGTGGATGGACACTGGTCCAGGCTATCTGACTATGGCAGAGAACCTGCATGTCACAGAAGATCAAGAACATCATTGTACCATTATTAGTTTCAGCATCTTTTTATTGCCAGAAATAATGACTGGTAATACAGGAAGCAGAATATTTATTCACGGTTTATTTTTATACAGAGAAGTAGGTTAAGCAAACCATGCCACACACCACAGCATTTATAACCTAAGCTAGTTTGCATTACCTGTTCCTAGATGAGCTTTTAACACACACACACACACACACACACACACCCACACACACACACACACACACACACACACACCAAAACTTAAACAACAAATTATATTAAATTATAGACACCAACAGCACAGGGCAGAGACTGCAGTATAATAAAGGTAAAATAAGACTGCACGTCCAATTCATCTTTAAAAACCGTTTTAGTTTAAGTTTATAATGATCTCAATCAGGCTTCAGTTTGAGTTCTGTAAGCTAATAGTTCCACATGTTAATAAGACAAATAGAAAAATGCCATTTTCCAAAATGATTTCTGTGCCCTGCAGTTTCTAACAGATGTGCTGCACGTTACTGAAGCCAAACCTCGAACAGGAACCACAAAGTCACAGCCGAATATGTGAGCATTTGTATAATAATTGTGGATTAGCAAATTGCAACAAACATTGAAATACTGCAATCTTGCTGGCTTCTTATCCAGAATTTGCCCATTTGTATTTCATCATAAGAGGCCTGACTGTTTGAAGTGATGCTTGTGACCAAAAGGTTACACAATAACTAATAACAATGAGAATGTATAAAAAGGGACTGACAGCATGAAATGGCAAATATAAGTTTGTTTTTGCAACTTTGGTCACATTTGAGCAGCTGGACTCTCAGTGACAACTACTGAATGCTGCAGCACTTAATATGAAATGTGACCATTATCTTTAGTCTTGGTCTTCATTCTCACTCAGGTACATTTAATTTTGTCCTATAAATCACTTCAAACTTTTCCCCAGTTCAAATTGTTCATCTTACCTCTGTCCACAGGGTTTTTAGCCTGCAGAGACTGCTGGCATCCTGCACTGCCTGGCTGAAATTCTGCATCTCCAGGTGCAACTCAGCCCGCTGATGCAACAGTCTGCCTGAAGAGGGCACTGTATACACAGGGATGAACAGACATCAGTTCATTGGATAGGTCTCCAGGCAATAGACTGTTTTTTCTAGGTCTAGGAGAAGTAGGGCAATAATGTAACATGTGGCATGAGACCAGTTACACGTGTTAGAACACCATGTAACTTATGTTACAACTCTAATAACTGACATCAGCCACACCAGCGGACATTAACATTTAGTCTCATCTGCTTGGAATGCATGCCTACATAAACACACTGCTTCATGCATCACGTACGCAAATTATGCACTTTACTAATGATCAGATAAAGTACACACTGTACCTAAGTTGGACTTGTCGTGCGTTACTTAACCAAACTGTCATCACTGGTTTCTTTGAGAAGGATGAAAAAGTTCCACCCTAAAGTATATTTAACCCACTTTGTCTGAATGGCTTTTAGTTGTCAATAAGCAAAATAACACTCGCTGTCATCTAAGATTTCAAAGCAACCTGATAGTTAGTTCATAACATAATATACAAGTTGAACAGGTATTCATAACGAAAGAAAGACATTTGTGGAACAGCTAAAAATGGCACATGGTTGTAAAGAAACAGGAAGAAAAGTTTGCAGAAGTTTAGATGCTCAGTTGCCACCGTCTTCTAGTTTCATTACTAAGTGTGTGTATGTGTACACAACAGAGCCAATGTTTCAGTGCAGAAAAAGCAACGCAGTTTCTACAATATCCGTGCAGCTTAATAAGGGGTTCAGAAACCTGGTGTCTGAACCTCTTGGGCAAACTTTGCCCATAGGATCAGGACAATCAACCAAAGTATGACAGTAAACAAACAAGAGGACCAGCCTATCATCAATGTGTGGGACATAATAGTTGAGGGAAAGTATAGTATAGAAAGAACTACATGGCTCCGTTACCATAAAAACCGCAACTAATAACATTTTTTGAGACTCATCATTTATCTGACTGCATTTTCTCCATCTCTTTACACAGATGGAGACCATTTGCAAAAATGTAAGACTATGCTTTACATGCCATACCCTTGCACACCACACATATCAGGACATATTATCTGCTAAATTTATAATTCAATTACATGCAATCCAAATGACAGATACCAGACAGCCTCCTGCTGTCTTTGTTGGGAAAACACTGGCTGGCAGTGACAAAACTGTGAAAGCACTCTGTCCTCCCATCACCCAGAGTCATTCACAAGACAGAAGGCATGAATCAGTATTGATCTGGGGAGAGAAATGCCTGAAAGGATGCCACAGGGATGGTGCATAGTCCTTTTATCTGAACTGTGATTTCAGAATTTTCAGCTAAATCAGGCTGATCAGTTTTATAAAATGACATTAAAGTGAGAACAGCAGAGAAAACCAAAGAGGAGTCTGAAAAAAGAATTACAATTAAAAGCTGCTTTAATAAGTAGGCCAGATGTGGGAGGGGAAGGAGGAGTCAGTTTTAACTTTCTGAGGATTCAAACTGTGCAACATGATCTTGCCATGGCCCATGATTAATGAAACACACTGGCTGCCTTTATGTAATGTGCCAACATAACAGAACACTCCGTTTTATAATGTTTAGGACAATTTGTCCTTAAAGTTACCAGAAAAATAAATAAATAACTAAAATAAATGAATAAATAAACATGAAGCAAATGAGGGTGTTAAAATAGGCTGTTGTTTTTCTGTTTAAGTACAATTAATGACCAACTACCGTTCACCCAAACGTTACCCAACACTGCTTATCCAACACCATACATAAGGGGAGGAGTTAAGGGTTATGTCAAACCAGAGACAATACGATGACCTTCTTCTAGAAGGACACTGACCCAACCCGGCCAGACAAATCTGATGAATGTATTCATACAGTAGCGACTGAGCAAATAAAATTTTCAGTTTACATAACGGAGATCACATAACAGTGGAAAAACTAAGTGAGACATCAGGTCCAGAGAACTACATACAGACGTCCCCTCTGCAGCTCTGTGAAAACAGCACAGCCCTGCCAACTATAAAGAGAAAAGCAGCATTAAACAACCGCTTTGCTGTTTCTTGCGTGCACGGGTAGGCTGTGTACTGCTTTGGTAAAAAGGGACGGCACGTCACGTAACACCACACCTCGGTACAATCCAGATAGGAGGGGGTGGCGCCCCTCATCGGTGACACTGAGAAGTTACGACTTAAAAAGTAGGTCATTGCACAAAAACATTACACTTTTAATTGCAATCTGTCAAGTTAAACACTGGAATTAGCACAGGGTTATCTCTCGGTGCGCATGTAGTGGCTGTGTGCAGTCTTACCTAGATCCACTGCTCCGTTGTATTTCTCCAGAGCCTCTAAAAGATTCTGCTTTTTCCACGAATCCTCTCCTTCGATCCATAATTTCCTAGCTTTACTCTCAGTTGCAAACAGTTTGTCCAAGAGGCCACTGAGTACAACGTTTATTCTCCGGCCGTTCGGCAGTCCTTTCCTGCTCAGATTTTGTTTGCAGTGTACACAGTTTGTGACAGAGTCGTCATCTGTGCAGCGTTTGCAGAAAGTGTGTCCACACTCCACGGTTGTAGGCTCGTGGAGCAAACACTTGCAGAGATGACAGGAAAACAAGTCCAGGGCTTCATCATCCTCACACTCCCCACTATTTTGAAACCCGTCTTCCCCGCTGCTGCTTTTATTGCTCCCGTTTACAGTGGCGTGGATGCCCAGCTCTTTCTCACGCAGAGTTCGGGCGATGGTTTCCACCAGGAGTTGAAGCTCCTCCGGGCGCAGCTTGCCAAGGCTGGCCGCTGTACAGTACGAGTCCAACGCTTCGGATATCCGCCCGGCACAGGATAGCGAGTCGGCCTTCCTCAAACACAAGCCCCTGTCAGGGTGCTGGAGATCTGCGAGTTGGGAGCTATAGATCTCTACGGCCAAGTTGAAGTCCCCGGCCCGGCTGGCCTCTTCTGCTACCTCCAACATTTCAGGGCAGATCCCCGCAGCTCCTGGATTGGAGAGCGGGTGGACGAACGCTTCGCCCTGGTGAGACCTTAGTCCGGTCTCCATCTTCTTCTCCCGACGGGAAAATCAGACGCTTAGAAGACTATGAGAGTCACTGAGAACATGGCACAAGCACACACACTCCCCACCATAAGAAATCATTTCCCCAGTTATTGCACACTATCTTTAGCGTTTTTAAATGTCAACCCAGACTTCCAGTTGTGTCCAACTCTCAGTGATGGCCATGAGTCCGATCCATAAGACCTCAACCCAGATAAAACAGGGGGCCTGTGTAGCATGGCTGGTCCTCGATAAGTCCCAGTATCTGATGTAGTTTCACTGCAAACACCTGGAAGTTGAAGGTCGGCGTTATTTATTACAAAAACTTTCAGCGTATCGAGGACGTCATCGCTCCCTTTACAACGCGGAGGTAGTTTTATTTATGTCCCGTCTAAAGACAGAAACTTCTTTAGAAGAAGAAAAAAAACACACACACAAAATGAATCTACGGCATGTTTAGGTACGAACCGGTGGGTAAAATCCAAGGAGCTTAGTAAATAAGCAGCTTAATTTCCATGGATCGTGCTAACTCGTAGTTATGATGGTAAATGTCCGCAATAAAGGTCAGGTTTCGAGCCACAGAAGTCCCATATAGAGTGGATAAATGCTAGACCCACAAGCTCATCATTTCTCCAAGAAGTCACAGCTGATCGGCCGCGTTTATATAAGAGAGCCCGGGAGCAGTTAAGTCCGGGGAGCCAGCTAACGTTACTACTGGCTAACTGGACAACACATACTGCCACTTCGCAGTTTGTTAAACTCCGGAACTCTTTCCGAACCGATATCCCCCAAAAATGTGCATTTACACGACCTCGAAAGTCATTTCTTCGTCTTTTATGGCGAGGAAACCCAAACAAAAACAAAGCTCTCGCCGGAGGTATCCATCTTGGTTGTTAGCCAGCTAGCTTTGAGCTGCTAAAGGTTCTGCTTTGGGATTTCGCATACAATTCGCCGAAGCAGACGCAAGACCACACGTGACACACGAGACAAGCTCCTATTGGCCCTTTATGTGGCTCACTTATATAACTCAATAATATTGTATAACCTTTGCAGATATCGCTGAATGAGTGTTTTTTAAATTTAAACGAGGTCTCACACATGATATTACAAAAATAGCCTCGAGTAAAACAAGAGAACGCAGCTTTCGGTTCTGGTTGAGTTACTTTATTCACTTTAACTTATAGTTTCATCTGTGGGAGTTGATTCATTGTTTTATGTAATGCTTTATATAAGCAGTGTGTCAAGTCTGGTTTTGGATTTAAAATGCGGACGACATGTTATAGTTAAGATCTATTGCTTAAGCCAAAGGGGAAAAAAGTCTGGTGTACGACCTTATCTTCTGGATCAAGTAAAGCTTTTGTTGTGCTGTTAAATACTCCATAAAGCTGTGACCCAATTTAGGTAATGGGAATCCACACAAGGGTGAATTCTTTTAAACAAAAGAAAAGGTTGTACAGACCCTGCTGCTAAGTATGCACAAGGACGCGGCCAAGAGGGTCCCCAACAGCTCTAGGTGCATTGGGTTAAAATTCAAATTCAATTTTTATTTGTCACGTACACAGTCATACACAGTACGATATGCAGTGAAATGCTTAGACAACTGCTCGTGACCTAAAGAAAAAAAAAAGGCTATGAATAAGATAGGAAATAAATATGAAAAATTAAAAAGGGTCAATTTAACTAGGAAGGAATAAAATATAAATTAAGGTTAAAAATGAAATAACTGTACAACACAATTTAGAATGAAGGGTAAATTTAACTGGGAAAGAATAAGATAAAATATATAAATTAAAGTTGAAAATAAAATAACTGTACAACAAAATACACAATACACAGTATAGAACTATATAAGAATGTATGAAGAAATATAAATAAATATATACACAATAACAGCAGCTGTACAAGTATTAACTGGAAATGAAGAATATAGTGACCAGTGTTGTGCAATCCACATTATGTCTTGTGCAGTGCAAATATGCTAAAATTGATTTAAGTGATGAAGTGAAAACAATGTCCAGAATGTCCAGTGTGTGTGTAAGAACTGTATGTGTGGGTCAGTACTGTGTGGTGGTGTGATTGAGAGACCGTATTGCCTGCGGGAAGAAGCTCCTCCTCAGTCTCTCTGTGTTGGTCTTCAGGGAGCGGAATCGCTTCCATGATCTGAACAGAGAGAACAGTCTGTTGTTGGGATGGCTGAGGTCCTTCACGATCTTCCTGGCCTTGGTCCAGCACCGCCTGCTGTAGATTGAGTGCAGGTCAGGGAGCTCGGAGCGGATGGTGCGCTCAGCTGATCGCACAACCCTCTGTAGAGCTCGTCTGTCCTGCATGGTGCTGTTCCCGAACCAGGTTAAGATGTTTCCCGCCAGGATGCTCTCTATGGTGCACGAGTAAAAGTTCCTGAGAACCTTGGAGGGCAGTTGGAAGTCTCTCAAGCGTCTGAGGTGGTAGAGACGCTGACGGGCCTTTTTCACCACGGTGTTGATGTGACAGGACCATGACAGGTCCTGCGTGATGTGAACTCCGAGGTATTTGAAGCTGTCCACTCTCTCCACTGGGCACTCGTTGATGACGGGGGTCTGGTAGTTCCTCTCCTGCTTAGTGCTGAAGTCCACTATCAGCTCCTTTGTCTTACTGACGTTTAGGAGGTTGTTCCTCTGGCACCAGTTCTCCAGATTCCTAATCTCCTTCAGGTAGGCCGTCTCGTTGTTATCAGAGATCAGGCCCACCACGATGGTGTCGTCAGCAAACTTGATGATGGTGGTGGAGCTGGTAGTGGCCACACAGTCATATGTGTACAAAGAGTACAGCAGGGGGCTCAGAACACACCCCTGGGGGGCTCCAGTGCTGAGAGTGGTGGAGGCTGAGACATGTCCGCCCATCCTTACTGCCTGTGGTCTGCCAGTTAGGAAGTTGGAGATCCACTGACACATAGATGAGCTGAGTCCCAGATGCTCCAGCTTGGTGGGGAGTGTGGAGGGAATTATGGTGTTAAATGCAGAGCTGTAGTCTATGAAGAGCATTTTAACATAATTCCCCCTTCTAGTGTCCAAGTGAGTGAGTGATGTGTGGAGGAGATGAGAGATGGCATCGTCTGTGGAACGATTTGGACGGTAAGCGAACTGTAGTGGGTCCAGTGTGTCTGGTAGTGAAGAAATGATGAAGTCTCTGACCAGGCGTTCAAAGCACTTCATCACTACTGAGGTGAGGGCTACAGGGCGATAGTCATTGAGAGAAGCAGGGTGGGGTTTCTTCGGGACAGGAACAATGATGGACTCTTTGAAGCATGTGGGGACCGACTGAGATAAAGAGATGTTGAATATCTCAGTGAACACAGGAGCTAGCTGGTATGCGCAGTCTCTTAGGATACGACCTGGGATGCCGTCTGGTCCTGCTGCTTTCCTGGTGTTCACTCTCTGGAAGGCTCTCCTTACTTCATGCTCGGAGATGACGAGAACGTTTCCGGTGCTGGCAGTATCTTCCTGTCTGCAGCCGTTAGTGCCGCTAGCACTAGCATTGTTGGAGACCTTAGCTGCAGCCTCGAAGCGAGCATAGAAAGTGTTCAGCTCGTCTGCCAGAGTCACGGCCGCGTTCATCATACCGGTTGTTGGTGCTTTATAGTCCGTTATTGTCCTTAGTCCCCGCCACAGGCTCCTAGAGTCACTCTGTTGGAGTTGTGACTCTAGGTTTATATAATATATCAAATATATAAAGATAAGCAAAGTTATTTTGTAACCTTTGTTTTGTTTTTACCTTCCTCATACACACAGGGAGAAACGAGGTAAACGATTATCAGTGGATGAGACATATACGAAAAATTAGGTCCTAAGCTTGGTTTGCATTCCAAACACAAATCCACCCTGTCTGCTCCACCTACCAAAATTAAACGACCCAGTTGAAAAACGTGTGCCCCAGTTACCTCCTGCATACCAAATGTAGCATGTCAACATTTATTTCGTTTTTGGTGTGTTGTTGATGGACAGGACTGAGATACAGGGAGTGCAGAATTATTAGGCAAGTTGTATTTTTGAGGAATAATTTTATTATTGAACAACAACCATGTTCTCAATGAACCCAAAAAACTCATTAATATCAAAGCTGAATGTTTTTGGAAGTAGTTTTTAGTTTGTTTTTAGTTTTAGCTATTTTAGGGGGAGATCTGTGTGTGCAGGTGACTATTACTGTGCATAATTATTAGGCAACTTAACAAAAAACAAATATATTCCCATTTCAGTTATTTATTTTTACCAGTGAAACCAATATAACATCTCCACATTTACAAATATACATTTCTGACATTCAAAAACAAAACAAAAACAAATCAGCGACCAATATAGCCACCTTTCTCTGCAAGGACACTCAAAAGCCTGCCATCCATGGTTTCTGTCAGTGTTTTGATCTGTTCACCATCAACATTGCGTGCAGCAGCAACCACAGCCTCCCAGACACTGTTCAGAGAGGTGTACTGTTTTCCCTCCTTGTAAATCTCACATTTGATGATGGACCACAGGTTCTCAATGAGGTTCAGATCAGATGAACAAGGTGGCCATGTCATTAGTTTTTCTTCTTTTATTATACCCTTTCTTGCCAGCCACGCTGTGGAGTACTTGGACGCGTGTGATGGAGCATTGTCCTGCATGAAAATCATGTTTTTCTTGAAGGATGCAGACTTCTTCCTGTACCACTGCTTGAAGAAGGTGTCTTCCAGAAACTGGCAGTAGGACTGGGAGTTGAGCTTGACTCCATCCTCAACCCGAAAAGGCCCCACAAGCTCATCTTTGATGATACCAGCCCAAACCAGTACTCCACCTCCACCTTGCTGGCGTCTGAGTCGGACTGGAGCTCTCTGCCCTTTACCAATCCAGCCACGGGCCCATCCATCTGGCCCATCAAGACTCACTCTCATTTCATCAGTCCATAAAACCTTAGAAAAATCAGTCTTGAGATATTTCTTGGCCCAGTCTTGACGTTTCAGCTTGTGTGTCTTGTTCAGTGGTGGTCGTCTTTCAGCCTTTCTTACCTTGGCCATGTCTCTGAGTATTGCACACCTTGTGCTTTTGGGCACTCCAGTGATGTTGCAGCTCTGAAATATGTCCAAACTGGTGGCAAGTGGCATCTTGGCAGCTGCACGCTTGACTTTTCTCAGTTCATGGGCAGTTATTTTGCGCCTTGGTTTTTCCACACGCTTCTTGCGACCCTGTTGACTATTTTGAATGAAACGCTTGATTGTTCGATGATCACGCTTCAGAAGCTTTGCAATTTTGAGACTGCTGCATCCCTCTGCAAGATATCTCACTATTTTTGACTTTTCTGTGCCTGTCAAGTCCTTCTTTTGACCCATTTTGCCAAAGGAAAGGACGTTGCCTAATAATTATGCACACCTGATATAGGGTGTTGATGTCATTAGACCACACCCCTTCTCATTACAGAGATGCACATCACCTAATATGCTTAATTGGTAGTAGGCTTTCGAGCCTATACAGCTTGGAGTAAGACAACATGCATGAAGAGGATGATGTGGACAAAATACTCATTTTCCTAATAATTCTGCACTCCCTGTACTGAACTAAATGTAAAACCTCAACCTTTTTCATTTTTACCTAAACCGTGTGCACAAAACTCTGGAGGGATCTAAATGCTAACGTAGAACCCAGTCAGGACATTTGCTACTGCTGTTTGCTCGTTTTGTTATGGGAGATCATTTTCAGGCTTCAAGTAGCACCATTATACCAACATTTCACATTCTAGACATTGTTTTAGGTGTATTTGACCAAAAATTTGACTGAAAATTCACATGCAAGCTTTTTTTCAAGGCTGTGGTATTTGCCCGCAAACAATACCTTTCAGCTAGCTAAAACAGAATATTATGCTATCACCGAGCAACATGGCTAATGCCTTTCACACAGCTTTGTCTCAACTCCAAAGAACCACAGAAGTAAAAGCTAATAATAATAA